CAGCCCCATTCCAGCACTTTATTTTCTCATGGTATTAAATGCTGTATACTTGCTGATCCCTGTCGTGATCCTGCTTGCTTGTGGATTAAGATTGGGTCAAGGACAAATTCCATCTCAGGTAACATACTGCTTACAGTTCCATATTCTAAGTTGTTAAGTAGCAGCACTGTGCACTGTAAAATAACCATGCTTAGAGCTCCAAATGATTATTTTTCAGCAATCCATAGAGGGAGACTGCAAGTATGTTTAGTTACTAAACAACAATAAACTTTGAAAGCAGTAGGGAAAGAAAGAGTATAAAACATACATATGACACATACACATGCAAACCTTTTCAAAATTCCCTAGAATGCTATTTCTGGAAATTATCATAGAGGCATAGCCAGAAACTTGCACTTGAGAAACAGTTCTCATTGCTTAAAAACATGAAAACATTAAAAGAAAAATAATAATTTGGCAACTAGTATTATTAAATGATGGTACAACATCTGCTTAATGAATCAGGTAAGTGCAAAACATCAGAAAAATACAGGCAGCTATTATGTAACTTTTATTTGCAAGACTAAATATGGACTAAATATAACTGAGCTCACAGTGCCTTATTAACAATGATCTTGAGGAGAGATCAGAAGCCATTGGTACGGGCAATCAGATGTTGAAAAAAATCCTACTAAACTATAAAAATTGGTGCTTATGCTTTCCTTATAGCTATGTTCTAAGTTGATATTGCTGTGCTCAATGTGCATCTAGAGAATGATTACCTATTATAAATTATAGCATCCTCCTATTCAAGGAATCTGGTCCTTCAAGACTTCACAGGGCAGCTGTATCTGAGCAAGAGCCTCACACCTTAGACTACTGTGAGGACTTGTACAAAGGAAGAGACAATTTTAGTTTTGTGGCGCTCACAGTCAGGGAAGGATTAAAACAAAGAGTGGGGGGAAATAATGACATAATTTTTAATTGAGTTTAATTTCCTAAATGAGAGTAAATAAAGGAACAACAAAAACTTGAAGCAAATGAAGCATAAGGAAAACTGATTCATTTGAGTTCAGGGTTCTTGGGGGAAAAAAACCCAGGTGGGTGAATTCAAACAACACAATTTTAATTTCTCCAAGTACAAACAAAAGCATTCAGGAAAGAGACAGAAACCTTCCAACCTGAAGAGAATGGCAGCAATGGCTCTACAATGTAGCAATGCAATCCTAAAAATAAATTAAGCTTATAGAAAGCAACAAATTGGGCACAGTCACCAGTGTGATGTCAGAAGTAAAAGAGGAAATTCAATCAATACTTCTGACTTTACAAGAGAGACCTTATTGCTCTTTACTGCAACCTGAAAGGAGATTGTAGTGAAGTGGGATTCAGTCTCTTTTCCCATATAACAAGTGACAGCACAGAGGGAAATGACTTCAGGTTGTGCCAGTGGAAGTTTAGACAGGATATTAGGAAAAATTTCTTCAGAGAAAGGGTTCTAAAGCATTGAAACAGGCTGTCCAGGAAAGTATTTTAAAGGTACAACCAGAAATGCAGAGCATCAGTTATTAAGTCTGGTACCTCCACATAAGAGGTCATAGGACTCTAATAATCCAACCTAAACATTTCTGCAAAATGAGACCAAACAGAACAGAGGCTCAAACAGCAGAAACTGGCCAGCAAGTTTTCTGTGGACACACTGGCATTAAATAATTTTGATTATCTACAAACCTTATCCAAAACTTATTCTCTTCAGCCGCTGTTACTACACGACTGCTCTACCATTTCCTTTCTCCAAATTTGTCAACCATAAATGAAGGCTTATTTAACTTCCAATAAAATCAGGAATGCCACAAAATCTGCAGCTGCCTCAACAGTCACTTGTAGAGATTTAGCTGAAAAAGTTTTGCTTAATTTATTACAGCACTGAAGTAGGTGGACCTAATTCAACATGGATTGGTAACAATTTTCTCTAGCCAGCAGTCTCGTGTAGTCTCTGATTTGGGCCTTTTTTTCCAGCTTTACTTTACAGAAAGCAAGCTTCTAGCCTGAAACTGCTAGAAAACTTGTCCCTCCTTCCCCAACTGTAGCTTAGCTTTAGGTAGTTCTCCCATCCTTTATTTCACTTGTTGAATGTATTCTTGGATTAGAATTAATCAATCATTCTTGATATGTTGAATAGAAGGGGAAAAAAAGAGGTAAATTTACAGAGCATAAAAAAAATACCAACCTCCACTTCATATATCTCCTTATTAGCAAAATATTTATTGGAGCCAGGTATGTCCCATGTTTTACCATCATCCCCAAAAGCCTGGCAACACCACCACTCACTGGGAATCCACCAGAGTGAACGGAACTTCTCATTCTTAAAAATGCTAAGAGAGATCCAACTCCAGCAGAAAAATTTGGAACAAATCCTTGTTAATTAAGCTCAAACCGTGTAATTACACACAGCAAAAGAATTTGCCTTCTTGTTTTCTTTGTCAAACTTCAGATAGTGAAAGAAATAATTCGCACATTGCTGCAAAACCAGAGCAAAACTCCAAATTCTTTAACACTTATTTAAATATTAAAAAGTGAATTACAATTATTACATATACAGAAATATTTACTGGTGATGTACAAAATTCTCTCTCTGCTTAGCTGTTTGCTGAAAATAGACATCTGCTTTCCACCTGGCACAAAAGCATGCTACAGAACAACTTCATCTGAGTAAACAGTATATTAAAATGTAATTAAAAATGATAATTTCATATTATATTATGCCTTCCACCCTGTTGACCCCTTTCTTCCATAGCTTCTAGATATACCGATGCTCAGACAAGGAGAGGCAACAGGTAGAGAAAGACAGAGAGAAGAAATTAAAAATTCCCAGCTGGTGTGAGCACAGCTGTTTCTCAGTGCTTGCAGCTGGTGAGCCAGAAACAGGTGCTGCTCACCAACCAAAATACGAGGGATGCCCTTGCAAATGTGCCAAAAGCAGGAGATTATCAGTAGCCTCTTTTTTTCACCCCTTTCCATCCTGCACTCTCAGGGAACCAGCTTCAACAGTGCTCACTAGGGGGGATACAGTTTTTGGTGGGCTGGAAAAGATCAAGCCTTGCTCTCTGGTACCACAATTATGTTACCACTTAGCTTTGTGCATTGTCTTGTGGCAAGTAAGCCAAAATTTTTGATTTATTATTGTCAGTCTGATCTGGCCAGGCTGCTGCACAGCAGCACCTTGCCTTGAGAGCAACAGCAGAAAGGGATAGTCTGGCCCTTGGCTGTAAACTACCTCGAGCATTTTCATGTTATGATTAGCAGCTCCTGGTCTAAACGATCTAACTGTGCTTTTTGGCTTCAAACTACTTACCTAGAAACACAGAACTGTCCTTCCAGCCAGGACATAAGCAACCATACAACTGGAAAATGAAGACAGAAAGAGGACAGAGAAATGAGATTAAAGGAGCAGCAACTAGGGGCATGGCTGTTAGGAAGAGTGAAGAACACAGGGAAGCAAACGAGAGATAAGTCATGCTTTGTGTTTATCTCTATGAAGTAATAATAACAATAACCTCCAAAAACTGGAGTTTGGTTTGAAACACAAGGGAAGGAAAACACAACTTGTTAATTATTGTACTCTGCTGATTCTCCCTATCACACGCTGCTGTAACCCATATCACACTTTTTTTTTTTTTCTTTTTTACTATTTACGAGCTGCTAGACCAGCTCCACCAGCAGGTGGAGGCTGAGACCTTGGCAAAGCAGGATGGCAGTGAGAGGCTGGAGCCGCCCCCCCTAAAAAGAGCACAGCTCTGTAGGGCAGAGTTCGCTGTTCCAGCCCAAATTCCCAGCACGGTCTCGTGGGAAATGTAGTGGAATCTGCCTCAGAAAGCGCCGGCTTTGGCGAGCCCCGGGGCCCAGCGCTAGGCAGCAATTGATGGAAAATTGCCCTTTTGCCAAAGATGGCTCAGCTCTGTTGAAAGAAGGAAAAAAAAAGTTGTCTCCAAAAACATACGCAAGGGTGCAGGTGCAGTTTTTGGGGGGGAGGTGGTATTTTTCTGTTTTGGTTTGGGTTTGTTTGTCTGGTTGTTTTTTTTTAACAGAAGAAAACAACTCAACCAAAAGAAAACAGAAAAAGAACCTTAAACAACACAAAATTCAAACAACCCGCCAATCTTTTACTTACTCCATGCTCACTCACTGCAGGAGCTTTGTTGTCGCTTCCCTCTTCAACTCAGGCTTTCTGATCTTTGCTTCCAAGCAGGGCTTATCAAAACCACGGCTCATATCTTCGTATCAGAGTAATTGGGAGGTGTCGATCTTGTTTAAAAAGTGGGCAGAAGCATTTACTTCATTTACTGCTTGCTGCAGGAGAGGGCTTCCCTGCCTTCCCCTGGTAACACGTGTTGAGTGAGGAAGAATTGTTCTCAAGTTCTAAATTGTTTCCAAAGAAGTCCAGCTGCTGTGACTGCCCGGGCAAAGAGAAGAGCTTGAGCAGCAAGTGAGGGAAAGCTCCTAAATCTCAGGCACACCGTGTGGAGAACCACCCTGTGGATGGAAGTGGAAGATTCTGCCTAATGCAGAATGAGCCAATCTGCTTCCTTGGGATCAAAGAAAATCCATCACTGTGTTGTCCAATCCATCTGTGCATTGGTGTGGGCACCCCAGCCCTGGCAGCCTGGCTAATTCCTTCTTATGTTATTGTAATTCCTCTTTTCTGAATTCTGTCCTGTGACAGAACTAATACACATGTGGTTGCACAGTCTGGCTTGCCATGCATCTTTCCAGTCCCATGGGCCCCTCTTTTTACAGGCTATGTGTGCTTATACTGGCTTAAGAACAGGGTACAAAGGTGTTATGCTGTAATGCACTGAATAAAGGCTTTATTTGAAAGAAAGGCAGAAAACAGGAGAGAGATTCTTGGTGTAGACATATTCTTGTTCAAAGGCCAAAATAAACATTAATAAAAAACACTATGGCAAGAAGGAGAAAACAGAATTTATTAACTACCCCTTGATAATTACAATGGTATTTACAGCATTGTTGGTGAGTGTGGTATACGGAAATCAAGGGGGGCCTTAATCAATCAAGGGTCAAATTAAGACCACCCAAATCAGTGGGTCTTAAATATTATCAGCATATAGTAGTAGTTACTGCCATATTTTCACTAAAATCTTCTACCCAAAAAAGTAATTGGTAGCTGGGAAAAGGGGCAAAGAAATGAGTGCAAAGAATGAGGTTTCAGCTCATCCTACTGTTGAGAGTAGGATGCTTGCATGTATTAGGGAGAAGATATTAAAAAAAAAATCTTTAGAAATATTAAGGGAAAGATTTAATTTTTTTTTTCTTTTTTTGAGAGACTTGGAAAAACTAGGTAGAAATGGTACAATTCAGGAGGCAGCAGAAAATTCCTGGATTACAAACCAAGACTCAAGGAAAGGATCCACTCTGCAAAGACTAGGTGAGGAAAGTAGGGATTTGGGTTTGGCCCTTTTATTCCAAGGCAAATCTGATCACACCATTTCCAGCTCTCACATCTGTGGAAATTCGCTCTGTCCAGTCCCTCCATCTTGTGTCTCTGGCCATCTGCCATCATCAGAAGCATGGTAAGGATGTGATGCTTTCAAAGCACTCTTTGTTACCAGCATCTTTAGTTTAGCCTCCAGAGAAAGATTGAAAAAGGGCGAAATAAAATAACTACTGCATCTCCTGGTTATCAACATTTTTTATTTCTCAGCTTATTTTGTATAGATTGAATATCTATTTTTAAATATACTTGCAAATTTGTATTATAAATAATTCATTATATGTAGCAATGGCTAGTAAGAAATAAATGAACTGCCTAATGGTAGAAAGTCAACTCTGTAACTGGCTCATGTTTGAATTTTGCAAGTATCCAAGTCTGCTGCTGAGATTAGTAAAATCCTTTATAACAAAAACTATCAACAAACTGTGAAGGGTGCTAAAGTGTGCAAGAAGAAAACAGTGAAGCCCGACTGACAAACCAAAGCAAACTGAAGTGAAATCCTGAAAAGCAGGTCAAGTTAGATTTTGTTCTTTATGTATATTACTAGTAATTTACAATAATAAATTTTAATTGCTTTTTTTAGATAGGAAAAGAATGCTTATTTGTAAAGTACATGTGATGTTATGGCACGTAGTGGAAATTATGAGGCAACATTGTGTCCCTTCAATTTCATGGTACTGACAGATGCTGTGTGAGTTTTTAAATTTATAATCCTGATTTTTATGTTTCCAGGTACTACCATTGATTACCGATATTTTGATTTGCCCCTGCAATGCTATTTAATTACACAGACAGTCTTGTTTGAGATAGTGTTCAGGTGTAGACATCACTGATACCAACTTGCATGTCCAGGGACAAAATTATTAATTTATGAAGCCTGACAAATTATCAGAATAGTCTATCATGGTGTCCACAGAAGCTTAGCTTGAAATATTGAGAACTGTTATCTTTTTGATGATTACAAGCTGAACTCAAGCTGAGCACCTGACCAATGTGTATTGAGTAGACCAGCTTAAAAATATTTCTCTTATTTTAATGCAAAAACAAACAAATAAAAACAAGCATAAAATATCAAAACTTAGAGAATTATTCTTTTCTTTCTTGTTCTTCACTGATCTTTCAGTAAAACAGACAAATATTTTGTCTAGCTTTCAAATGAAAAGAGATAATTATGTTTTTAACAGCTTAATTTTCATGCTCAAATGTTGCTTTGTACTGTGTTTGAAAACATTTTCAGTACCCAAATTTAGATCTTAGGAGTTTTATAAGATGCTCTTGAAATCCTGTCTTGAACACAATCTACGTCATCGTAGGCTATGACCAGCATAAATCAATGAGATGAAAACTGTGTTGTGACTAAGCAGAAAAAGTCAGTCTTACAAATTATTTGCACTGAAATAGTAGCCCATGAATCTTGTAGGAAAAAAAACCACCAGAAATGTGAGCAAGTATGTAAGTAATCTGATTAATATTTGCAATTTAGCTGTTTCCAAGTATGTTATTGTCAAGGCAGCCTTTATCATTACCTGACATCACTCCAAGTATAATGCCCATTCTGCCCTGAATGCTTGTTGATCCCATGGCACTTTGGAGATCAGCAGGGCATGATCACTGTGTTTTCATGTGCTAACACCAGTGTCCAGGACAAATCCTAGCTCAGATGTTTTCCAGTACCCTCTAATCCCAATGGATATCCTACAGTGCTGTGAAGTATTTCAGCACAAGAAAAGCTGGTTTGCTCATATTCACAGATATTACACCTGTACATTTCTAAAAGTGTTGAAAAGTTGAGAGGATATAAAATCCCACATACTAAACTGGCTTGAGAATGGAAGTGATACTCTGGAAAACGACTGAGAAAATTGAAAAATTCCAGTCCCATTACAGTAATTTCAGATAAAGAAAACACTTCATTTTGAATATGAAAAGACCTTTACAACTCTCCAAGAAATAACCAGTTAAATAGAATACATTCAAATGAGGAAAAAAACCCCTAAACGTTTCTAACATGGAGGAAGTAGCAGCAATCAGAACATGTGAAAGTGATGGATTTAGTGAATGTCTTGAATTTTTCACAGTAAGACGGAGCACCTTTCTCATCAGTAGCACTAATGGAGCATCTGGTTGAATTATAACAGTCTGTGAAATGCATGAAGTCACAGCACAAAGTGAAATTTTGCTTTTAAGCTGCAGGGCATTGTTTACCTGCAGATTTCCTAGTCACTGAAATGTGGGAAATAAAAGAGGAAATAAAACCAAAACAAACCAAATGTTTACCAAATAAAATGAATAAGATAAATTGGTCCAAGCACAGTAGTTAAAGAACAGTTAAAAACATCGAAGTAAAACAAATGGGCAAATTATGTTCTCAGATGCCTAACTATTCAGATATACCAGTAAATATGTTTACATGAACAGATGCATTTACATCCCTACAAAGAAAAATATTAACTGCAAGGCCACTTAATTAAGAACATCTATTTTAATACAAAGAAGGAAAGAACTGCAGCAAACAAAGCACAAAAGCAAAGAGATTTTAAGCTAAGTAATTCTAACTCTTTGGTGGAGTGAAAATGTAACTTGTGAAGCAAAAAATACCTTAATTCTCCATTTCTTTTTTTTCATAGCAAATTATTGCTTGTTTTCATAATTATTGTTCAGCATCTTTCAAAGGGTCATATGTGAACACTGTCAGAAGGAAACATCTATGACTGAGATCTGGGCTGCAGGGTAATTTGTGCCGTCCTGTGCCCAAATGACTGAACTGGTTATCAGTGTGACACTACTGTGGCCATCAATGTCAAAAGGCCCTTGCCAGTGCTGTTTAGGGAGCTGGAGGCATAAGGGCTTGGAAAAAGATAATCTTTTTGTTTATTTCTTCATCAAAATAGCTTGACTCCAACCAGAGGAGTCCCACCCTTCTCAGACAGAGCAGACAGCCACTGCCCAGCTTGTCACGTTTCCAAGCTCTATGCCTTGCCCAGGCCAATCAACTGCCATCACTTCTGCTGGAGTCACTAGCTACAAGGGAAGAAAAAAGCCTCTCCTAAGAAAGACTTTTTGAGGAACTGCAGGCAAGACTACTTTATAATTATTTTGGAAGCAACGGTCTGCAAAAATTTATTATAAGGTCACCTTATGCATTGCGAGGATAACAAAAGGAGAGATAAGGATAACAAAATGCATTGCCAGGATAAGAAAAGGGAGATAAGGAAAACAAAGTTAAAGGAGACCTCAGTCCAGGAATCACTTAGAAATTGAGCACAAGAACCCAAAGGAAAGCTTCCAATTATACATTCAGAATCATTACTTGTGCAGCTCTAATCTTGGCTTCCTTCAGTGCATTTGAACTATTCATTCACTTGTCAACAGATGCCAGTTAAAACATGGTCTTCATATCATCCATCTTAATACCTCCCTGAGAGTGTCCAGCTTAAAGCTACCTTTATTAAATACTGTGCCATTCACTGGAACAATTATTTTATAAAGGCTCAGTTTAGAGAAACAAATGACCCATGGGTCAACACCCCCAAAGGAAACACTCTTAATCTAAATACATTTTTGAGAAAATATCTGGTTCTATCCTTTATAGGTCAACAAGTTTATTATCATCCTCCTTATCACACCAACAGAATGGGAATGTTCCACAGCATGGCTGCAGCCACGGCTTCCACACCACATTGGCCACAGAGAGCTGCTCTGGCACTGGAGTCAGCGTCCTGCGATGCTCCTCGATGGCTCTGCCAATCTTCCTTATGACAGTGTCAAAGAGGGGCTCTGTGTCAGCAGAGAGAGGTTTGGCTTCAGAAGGGTCTTGTGAGAGCTCAAACAGCAGTGGGGGCTCATGATGGGTCACTCCTTCCCCAAAACACGGGCAAAATCCTCTGTCATAGCAAGCTCCAGCTCCGGGAGGACGGAAGATGGGAGTCACATAATGAGCCTTCCAAACAGCTCCAGCTGGCAGGAAAGAAAGATCACAGAAGGTTGGTTATAACGATGTCAATTATCACAAGGAATAGTGAATGTTTTTCTAGAGTTCATTTCTGGATGCACTTCAGCTCTGCACTTATTAGTTAATGTAATATTGTAGTATCTCCTGGTGCTGTACAATACAGACAATGCTAGTAAGCTCTTTCCAACATTACACCTGAACTACTTGGAAAGATGAAATCTCGGGAAAAAATGTGTTAGAACAATGTGCTCTCCTGTCGGCTGAAATAACTGTTTGGAAAGAAGGTGTGTACTCACTGTCCTTCTGGTGCCAGCGCACGGCGTGTAAGTGAACGCCGCAGTAATGGAACAGGAACTCGTGCTCCGAGCGCGCCGCCGCTCCCCGCAGCAAAGGCAGCAGGTCCCGGCCGTCGATCACCCTAGAAACAGAACACAGCGCTGGGAGGGCTGGACACGACTGGGATTCCCCTGCACAGCCCTCGCTGGAGCTGGCAGCTCTGGACAAGAACGAGGGTTGCAGCAGATGGCTGCTAGGGGCTGAGTCTCAAAGGTAGAGAAGAGGTGACTGAGCTCGTAGATATTGGTGTGTCTAGAAAAGCAGCAGGACTGAAAAAGAAAACATCAAACCCTTGGGATGTGTTTCCAAGCTAGATTTTCCATTGTTTTGGGAAAGAAGGAGGAATAAAGATGCTTTTGTTTGTACCTGTCCTGAGGCACTGTCCCTCCAGCCAAATGAACTACCGTAGGATAAATATCCATAAGGCTTGTAGGTTCATCAATAACTGTGCCTGCAGGTAACACTCCTGGCCATCTAAATATCCCTGGGACACGGATTCCTCCTTCCCAGCCTCCCATAGCTTTTCCACCTTTAGTTAAATAAAAAGAAAAATAAAAAGTAAGTTTGATCAAAAATAAAAAGAATATTTGCACAAATTTTATTGTATTATTATGTTACCTTGATGAGCCTTCTTCGTTCTTGTTTTGCTGCTAAGCTCCTACTGAGCATTAGTGAAAGTGTGTAAGTGTGTTCAATTGACCAGACCATGGCAATGTGAGAATTCATGCTTATAAAGGACACCTGCCCAGGTTAGAATTTACTACCTTGTTACATGCCTAATTAGAACAAGATATATTTGCTTCTTGGTGATAAACTAGTGTTACTTCTTGAGTGTACAATCTTGCTTAAGCCTTAGGGGTGTCCTAAGTGTTTTACTAGTTGCTGCGGGGTTGTCACTGTCCCTGACAGCTCTTACCTTTGTATATCCCATTCCAGCCACCCAGCTGCCTTTCACCTTCTTGTCTTTCCAGCCATCCACCATGGTCAGAGGCAAAGTAAACCAGTGTAGTATCTTTCAAGCCTTCCTTGTCAATAGCATCTAGAACCTGGCCTGTAAAAGCAAGGATATGTGTATATTAAAAAGCAAAAATATCCATCATTCTACTTAAATTTTAACCTCAGACTTGTAAACATTTACCAGTGTAATTTCTTACCTAAGTAAGGCCACTCATTGTTTAATATTTTTTAAGATTGATATTTTAGTTATTATTTCATTGTCTCTAAAAGTACAGAAAATTTGTGATGTGTTGTAACCACTTTATTATTGGTATTTTAACAAGGAGTGCAAAAACCACGGTCACAGACAAGAGGCCTGCAATATCAAGGGCAAAAACTGCCATATGCTGTAAAAATATGGAAAGAAATTATGATCTAAGTCCCCAAAATTTAGCGCCTGCATCAGTGTGGGCCATCATGAAAAATTTGGAAAAAACATAAGGCTACTTTTATCTTTTATTGTCTAGATCACAGGATTTGCATTACATTACTGCATGGATATAATATGCATTAATAGCATAGTGTCTTTAAATTTAAAATTCATTCTTGAGCTGTTTTTGATGTCTTTAATTATATTTGTAGTGTGTAAATGTTTGACAGTTAAGTTTGAAACCAAATTCTTCCTGTATGTGTACCTGACTTTTCTCTCTTTTGCAAACGTGGGTACTTTTTGTCCATCATGATTGAATGATAAATAATTCTCCTTCCCCTCTAGAAAAACAGGCTGAAAAATAACATGAGTCTTATTGTGGGGACACACCAGATAACACTGATGAACATGTCTGGATTTATGATTGTAGCTGAAAAATATTCAGTATTCTGCTTAATGTTGCAGTCACAAATATATAACCTGCTGTTTTTTCATCTGAAATTAATTTGCTTATTGATTTTATCACTTTCCGAGGTGTCCTACTTAGAAATGACCTGGTCTCTACTAATCATAGAAAAATGAAATAATTATCACATATTTGGTAAGAAGAACAGGAGAGCTCCTTGACAGGAGCTAAGGGGTCATGATTAAAACTGGTAAACACTTGACCAAAAAAAAAAAAATAAGAGTGAACATTTGGCCCAAGACTGGAGAAAGTAAAAAACCAACACTATAAATCAATAGTGCTCACACAAGATTGTCAGATGTTCATGAAATGCATATGATTTTTTGGTACTTGCTTTTAAACATCTTCCTTGTTCTTTTAATAAAAGCTTTTTATTTAGACCTATGTTTTAGATACTTGGAGACATTGTTATATGCTATGTTGACTTACCCACCATCCAGTCCATCTCCTCAACATTGTCTCCATATAAACCATGCCTGCTCCTCCCAAGAAACTTCTCTGTGGTGAGGAGAGGGGTGTGGGAATGCAAAAAGGAAAGAAAGAGGAGGAATGGCTTGTGTTTATTTCTACAAAACAGAAATCAACACTGTGTTATTAGGGAGGAAGGTTCTCAATGCAGATCATTTGTAATGAAAAATAGTATTTTTTTAATAGATATTTCAACAATCCCTTCAGAAACACCTTACTTTGTAAGATATTATAACTCAGTGATTAGGATCTCATAGAATAATTTTGGGCCTATATAAAATTATCCTTTTTCTACCCTGAATCATAGGTAGAAAACTTTCAGATTGAAGATCCACTTTCTGCTACTGCAAAGCACCACTGTGCTACTGAAGGCAGTAGATTCATCTCCTGCCACCTATTGCCCACTTATCAGTCCATATGATAAGGCTACATCCCAGCTCTGCTTCTCCTTCCTTGGCCCACACACTCATTTCTGACATCACCTGCTATTCCTTAAAGCTGCAATGCTGGTCTTATTGACAGGAATATATATTTCTTAAATTTAGCCTAGAAATATTCAATATAACCTATGGAAATTGGGAAGTATTATCAGCTTTGGTGAAGCCAGGAATAAGTGGCATCCTTAAGCAGCAACTTTTTTTTTTTCTTCTTTTTAATTACATGATATAACTATTGATATTATTTAAAATTAATAAAAATAACAGTACTTATAATCCTACAAATATTGTAAAAATTATGAAAACTTATGAAGACCTGAAACAGGAAAGTACTGTTTACAAGTTGCAAAATGTGCAAGAACTGGAAAATTTGTGGTCAAAGGAAATCCACTTCACCTTTCAATAAATGAAATGGATTCTCTCAAGATAAGGGATGTAGTTCTGTTCATCACCATTGGCTGTTCAGTAATTCCATGGTTTCTCATCATAATGCAGTTCCAGTACCGTACAAATCCATAACTTGAGAACCAGGATATGAAGAACAGGAGACTAAACCCAGCAAGGCAGGTCAGTGTTTTCCAATGGACTGAAATCAAGCCTGTCAGTCTTCCAAGGACAGCAGTGAGTGTAATGAGACCAACCACTTGAGTGGAAAGCCAGAGTTTCCTTCTAAAGGCTCTGTCCATCTCTGGTGTCTCTGTTGGCTCACAGTCACTTATTAGTGTAAAAGGCATCCCATAGAAATAGTCAAATCCATGTTTTAAAGGGTGATGGCAATGGTCATTGCGGGATTCACAGTTAACACCTTGATGCCACTTCCCTGAAAGTAGAGGTTATTAAAATATAAAAAGATAACATTTTAAAAGAATGGACTTCTCCTTACACAAAAAAAATTCTCGAAAAGTGGCTGTTTCTTTTCTGCTTGTGATAACTTCTTCATCATACACAGAAATATACCAGTAGTATATCTATCTATCTATCTATCTATCTATCTATCTATCTATCTATATCTATATCTATATCTATATCTAATCTATATCTATATATCTATATCTATCTACTATCTATATCTATATCATCTATATCTATATTTACCTGTATCATCTATATCTATATGTAGATATATAATGGGTTTGACTAAAGTGAACTTCTACATTTATAAATTTTCAACACTTTTATTGGTGCTCTGTGCATATATTCATGCCCTGTAGCTTTGATTTAACATTGAAAAAAGAAAAAAATAAAAAAACATATAAAGGCAACTAGAACTTGGTAAAAATTCCAAACTGAGCAAAAATATATGGCCTTCCTGGCGACCTGTTAAGTATCAAAGAGAAGGAAGCTGTCCATTTGTAAGCATATGGGAAAATAACCTTGTTTTGTTGTCCCTTTACCTTCAAAGTGCTGTGCAGACTTGTTCCTGGTAGGTTTTGAGGTACTTGATGTCAGGACTATGGCAACACAGTGTTGATGCCAGATTGATAAGGGGACATATGGATAGAGTAGTCAAACTGGCAGCTCTTGTAACTGTTTGCCAGACAAACCACTGGATCCAGAAAAACTTGAGCTCAGGAGATCAGTATGAAGCAGTACATTTGTAAGTAACTTTGATGATCATTATTTCTCCATATACTGAATGAGAACAAAATACTTTGTTTTATAAATATTGTTGCCATTTATTTGTATTTAATCAAATTCTAAAAAGTTAAAATCTACTTCTTTTAGGCACTGAAGTCTTCGTATCTCAGCAGGAACACCTTTCATAACACAATTTGTTCTTCATTACGAACATACCAACTACTATCAAGAATGGCACATCAAAACCATGCTTTTTGCTTTCCCCCCAGTCTATTCAAACAGACTGGTAAAGCACTTACATGGTGACATAGCAAGCTGGCTTGTTGGTTCAAACACTGAGTTTTGAGAATGTCTGAATTGAGTGAACAAAATCTACCACTTGTCAGAGGTTTAATTGAATTTTACACAGATCTTGGATGTCAGATCAAAATGGGCATCAAGAATTTTACTTGAAAACTAATTTGAAACTAACTCTTATTGTTGAGAGAGGAACTGTGCACTTCCAGGATGATGTTATCCTCAATAAGTGGTTCAGAATGTTGTCAGTACAAATAATAGCAGCCAACCCTGGGTAGGTTTCAGTAGAATTGCAGTGCATTACAATAGGAGCCGAAAAACTGCTCCAGAGGAGAAAAATTGCTGCTTCTCAGCTGTAAATACAAAGAAAGAATGGAAATTTTAGCAGAGGTGAATCGCTTTCAGCTAAAATCTCTGCTTCCTGACATATTTAGAGCCAGCTGTTGAATGAAGCAGGTTTGTGATCAATACATAGATGTGTTGGTCATAAATACACGTGCAGATAAAGTATTCTTAGAATTCAGATGCACTCCAACACCTAAATCTCCAGCTGAGGTCGATAAAGTTTCTGACACGCTAGAAGAGAATCAAATCTCCAGAAGCTAAACTAAGTGTATAATTAAGATAAATTAATCTCTGAAGGCTTTAGTTATACAGCATTGGTTTTCTGACTACAAAGAACCTTCAAAGCGTTTCCCAACAAAAATCTCATTATCACCTCAAGCTGCAGGTTATTAATAGGATTTAACTTTGCAATTAAACTGGTTGTGCTCAGGGCAAAACAATCACAAACAATTCAGGTGAGACTACTTAGTGCTCATTCAGCTGTGGTGACATGGGTAGATGTTGTGTTAAGATTTTTTTCTTCATGACTTGAATATAAAATTCTTGTGGTATTTTGTGTGTCACTTGTCATTGGTGCTTTCCATCAGCCCCCATGGTGCAATTAATCAAGATCTGTCAACCCAGTTAATCTAAGTGATGCTTTTGGCATAGTGTGATTTTAGCTGAGATGGCCACAGGGAAAATGCCTCGCCCTTTTGTTTCTGGGAGGCAAGCAGCACAACTCCTCTGCAGGGAAATTCCCTGGGGAGAGTGGAGACAAATCTGATTGTTTTGCCTGTGATAACATACTGAAACCAAGATGGAGCATGCACAGTTTTCTTTATGAGCTAATTGAAACAAGTAAAATAATATTGTTACAAAACTAACAGGAGATAGAGCTTCAGTAATAAAGAATTTAAATTTCTTGGAAGGCTTCTTTTGGTTTTGTCCCATGTGGCTTAAATTTATTCTGTTGAATGAATATAAATGTATTTCTGCAGGAAGTTTTATTAATGAATTCAGTTGGTTTGTGCAGCTAATATTTTTATGTGCCAGATACAGATTTTGGATTTTGACATTTTGCATGCTCAGATGAGGTATGGCAAATAGCTGAAAAATCAGCCAGGAGTGTTTGTGCTTTATCAGCCTGTGGAACTATGTAACACATCTAAGATAAATAATTATTTGAAACAAGATCATGACCAAAAGTTACAACTGTACTAAAAAAATAGTGCTGTATAATAGAAAGTAAAATGAAATTCACATTGATGCTGAAGAAGGCAGTGTACTTGAGTTGTACTGAAATCCTGATGAACTACAGTGGCATGCTGTGACTGAAGAAAAAAATAATTCTTTGTTTCTGTTTCTGAAAGGCCCAATCTTGTGACACTATTAAATATCTCCAATGTTTTAAATAGCAGCTGTTCCCTTTTGTGTGAATCTGCTCTGAACTGTGTAAAACATCATCATGCATATTTAAGTGGCACTCAGGTTTTTACTTTTTAAAAATTAAATAGTATTGGGTTAAGTATCTTCTACCTGGTGTGATATTCAGGAATGAATAACATCTTCTGTTATGTATTTTAACCACTACAGCTATGCTTGAAAGTGGGTCAATGGTTAAAATTGCCATCTTTATCGTATGGTTGTTTTTTTAAGAGAGGTACTTTTTGGTCAGCGTTTCTTTCTACATATTATTCTTAATCAGGAAGTAAAAATATTACAACTGAAGTACAAGCAGCTACTAACTAAAACAAACGGTTTGAGTGAGATGTGTAGGTGAAACACATTCAAGAACATCTTTAGGAGAGGAATGCCCCCGTACCTATCAGTCCTGTGCTGTAGCCTTGGTGCTGCAGTATTTTGGCAAAAGTGGTTTCGTTTGGAGGAAGCCCTCCTGAGCCAGCATTCCAAAATATAACACGGTAATCGTTTGTAGCATCCATCCCTAAAAATGTAATGAAGAACAATCTGAGTAAGTAAAAGGTTGAGTACTTTTTGTCCAACATACTTTTTTGTTTCCTGATTTCATTGAAATGATAGTGTTAAACATTTGTCCTAGTGCTCTTTGCTTAGGAAAATGAATCTAAGACGCTGGACAAGATTAAGAAAGATAAGACTCACCACAGTTCCTATTCTCTCCTCTTTGTATCTCATATTGAGACTTTTTTCCCTTTAATTTCATTTAATTTGGAACGACACTGTTGTATGGGAGATTTTATATGTCACAGTGGCACCCTAAGCTGTATGAAATGCACTTGCATTTCATTGTGAATTGTGAATGTGAGGGCAGGGAGGAGCATAAGGAGACTTCAGCCCCCTGTCAGTCTGAGACCCAGCTCACTGAGGGCTGCCAGGGAGTTCAGGGTTTCCTTGCACAGTAGCATCTGATCTCTGAGCCCCACAGAGTAGCTATCTTCCCTTCACCTGCAGGTTCACACCCTCCCATTTAGTGCTTTCTCCTGGCATAACCCCATCATACTGTGCTATGTAAAGTCCAATCTGTCGTCGTAGCACTGAACATCTCTGGCCCTGTTGTTACAGTGGGAAAGGGGCTGTACAAGCACATGTGTGCTTTCAAACTACCAGTCTCAGTGGGAGCTGTCATGATAAAAGTAGGATGGCATATCAGCTTCAAAATGCCTCAGGAGTGAAGACTCTGAAGATAATTTGCAATAGAACAAGCGTTTGAGGGCTGCTGTTAGAAACATGTAGAGCTATTTGTTTTTCATACCTCTTCATCTCAGGGATGCAGTTTGACAGGATAGTGTTTTTTTCTTCAAAAACACAACTGGGAAAAATAGTATTGCTGTCAAGCTGTTATCTCCTAGGACAGATTAATTTTGACAGATACATAAAGAAGCTTTCCCATGAATGCCTTGTTCTGCACCTTGGCTGGAGGGAATGGACACACATCTGCACAGGCTACTCTGCTCCCTGCAAGGCTGAGCTGCTTCTGACATCTGAGGAGAGTCACCTATGATAGAAATTAATTTAACTAGTGCTTTCTGTGTTGTTACTATTCTTTATGTTTTGTGTAATGACCTTTTTGAATGTAACCATTTGCTCTAACTTCATTCTGGCTGCAATCTGTACAACAGAGCATCAAAACATAACCAAAATTGTGCGTTGGGGGAGACCAAGGTCCTTGCCAGAGCTGGTTCTTCTCTGCTCTTCTTTTCCGCAGAAATACCCTACAAACACAGAAGCTGCCTCAAAGGTACTTAGCCTATCTGACATCTCAGTGTCTCAGTGAGGGATGGGATGTCTGTGACACCCCTATTTGCACACCCTCATTTCTTCTGTGCCCATTGTATGACATTGTTCTCTCCAGCAATAAAGCAATGTTTACAGGCTTCGTGGCTTTGCAAGGCAAACCTGATCGGAGGGGATATCTGCCAGTGAGGAAAGCTGCTCTGCTGGGGGTGCAAAGTGGAGCTGCAGCGATGTGTTGGGTCAGCTTCACTCCTTCCTTTGCCAGGCGATCAATGTTCGGGGTCCTAAAAGTGCAACCAATGCCACCAGATATCATCCAGAGAGTCTTTCAAGGAAATAAGAAATTATATACTTACCTTTATTTTCGGAAGTCTCTTCTATTTGAAGAGGGTTAGGAAATATTTTTGCAATGTATTTTGATTTTCTCAAGTGATAGGGAAATAATTCTCTTTTTCTTTCTTAATTAAAAATCAGTATCTGGATTAATTTTAAGACAACCATTCTTTTTTATGTCCTGTGAAGAGTCATGCAGAAATCATAGAATTGTAGAATGGTTTGGGCTGGAAGGGACCTTAAAGATCCCAAAGTTCCAAGCCCCCTGCCATGGGCAGAAACACTTTTCATTAGATGAGGTTGCTCAGAGCCCCATCCAGCCTGGCTTTGAACATTTTCGAGGATGGAGCACCCACAGCTTCCCCGGACAACATGCTCCAGTGCCTCACCACCCTCACAGCAAAGGCTTTTCATTCCTCCAGAGCTGCCTTGCCTACACCAGGTTCTTAAAGAGGGTGTATCAGCCTCAGTGTATCAGTGTAATGATAATTTAGTTGCCAGAGGGTGACAGTGCTTGACTAGACAAGATACTACATGACTTACGGTACAGATAAGGAAGGCAACAAGGTACTTCTCATGACATTTGTAATGAAGGGAAAAGGAGAAAAAGGGAAAGAAATCCTGCCTGTTTTCACACTGTAGTGGCAATCTCTCATGACAACACGAATTAAGCCACATGGTGAGTAAGTAGGTGAGAAGAGGGTATTTTTCAAGCAACTGGCAACCAGCAAAAACAAATTTGCCTTAGCACACTAGTTACAGACAAGATAATATCTTACTTTTCAGAGTAGAATATCGCCCCTCTTCCAACTCAAGGTAAGCCCACTTCTATTTTAAATTAGATTGAGCTTCAGTTTTACAATTTTGTTTTTGCATTTGTCAGTTCAATGGTGTTCACAAGCAGGTAAAACCTTCAGTAGGATTTTGAAAGATGTTGGATGTTTTGTTGCTTTATACTCCTACTGTTAGGTACTCCTCCCTCAAAGGCATGCTGCCAGGAAACAACATCTGCAACAAGATTTCTTGTACTCTCTACAGCCTTTGGCCAGAGGTGCAGTCTGGGGTAACTTGGCAAAGCAGCTGGTGTAGTTCCACTCTTCAGCACAATTGCCATCCCAGTTAGCTGGTAAACATTCCTCCTCAAAGGAGCACTAGGTCTGCTTCCCAAACTGCTATTTCAAAATCCTGCCATTCTTTGCACTGTAGAGAATCAGTTGCCAAGAAATCCCAGATACTAAGTCACCCTGCTAGTACACTCCGAATGTGTAAAAAGAAAATCCATGCCTTGGGGATGATGCTGTGGAGGCCTGGCTTTGCAGAACCCTGTCAGCTACCTGTGATCACCAGCTGCCTGCCAGGAGCTTGCTGACTGAAGCCTTTCAGGGTAAGATTCCAAGAACTTTGCTGGATGAGGGGAGGAATTGTAGCAAATCTGGTTTTGTTCAAACACATTACAAGCCAGCAGGCAATACTGTGGCACAATTTTCAAAGAGAAGGCAAATTCAGTCCTTGAGGCTGAAAAGATAAATATTTCCTGGTAACATTGCTCATTGCAGTCACTTAACTGTATTTTGAGTGAGACTGGGAAAGAATGGTAACATAGAATTAAAATGAGGTAATCAGTATTGAAAGAGGGGACAATATTTCTATCTTTGGGTATAACTGTTTTTCAAGTGTTAGGCAATTAAGGAATACACAAGAATGTTTGTCATATTGTAAAGCAGGGCCACACAGCAGAGCTGGCCCTGGGAATGTCCTCCAGGCTATGAGATAATCCTGGGCAGAGGATTTCAGGTTTACATTAAATATCACACCAGCTCTGTTCACCCTTAAGGTAACTTTCCTTACCTGATGGTATCATTCCCATAGCAACCTACATCCCCTATGCCAAGATCATCAGCCAGCAGCAGGACAAAGTTTGGCTGTGTGATGGTGGAAGGCTGTGTGCATGGTGCTTGCAGAAGCAGACCAAAAATCAGGGGTGTGAGCAGGGCTGACCTGAAACACAGAAGAGGGAAAGAAGCCAGTGACCTGGCCATTCATCACTCCCCCTGCACGGGGCCAGAGACCCTCTGATGATGTGAGCCTGGCTGCAGACCAGACCACTCTGTCCAGACACAGAGGGTGTGCTGAGTGTTTATCATTTACCCAAACTGATGCAACAAAGAGGAAAATGCCAGGACTATAACTTTAAAATCTCCTTTCCTGATTGTTTCCAAGTTTCCTGTGAGCAGTCTCACATGGGAATTTGCATGTAGCAGATGGCATACAAGTGATTTTGCTTCATGGCTTTTGGTGTTTATAAAGAGTTGTTCTGGGAAGATGAGAACGGGATCAACTTCCTCTGACATAGTTTTTGGCCAGACTGAGACCTTTGGGTTGTGAAAAAGTTAATTAAAAAAACAAAACAAAACAAAAATCCCATTGTGAGATAAACAATAATACTATTTTATAACACAGTATTACGGCATTATTAAGCTTCACTCACTTTAGATTTAAGTATGATACAACAGCAACTCATGATTTTTTCTTACCAATGAGATGTTAGTTGCCAAATCATTTCGGCATTTGGAGTGTTCAAATCCAAGAGTACTTTGTCATAGTTACATCTTCCTAGTAGTGACTGCAATAAAAATAGATTAAAAACTTACTCAAAGCCTGTTAACATTCTGTTTTATTTACTCCAGTGCACCTCAGATTAGATCCTAAATAAAGAAGAGTAAGGCATTATTGTTGTTTTTATTGCTAGCTTTTTGCTTATTAGAGGGATTTTTCTTTTTGTATAAAGAGGTTTATTCCAAATAATTCTATTTTCTTACATGAATCATCTAGATAAAAAATACTTACTGTTCAGAAAGGAAAAAAATGTGTTTTAAAATCCAGTCCTCAATATAATTTATTTTTGTATAATCACAGACAGTAGCAGCATTGTGCTTTGTGTTTCCTTTCAGGCTTTAAGATGCATTTTTAGTAGAAATTCTAGTCATCTTTTTCCAACAATTATAATTTCTTGGAAGAATTCGTGACCTCCTGTAGTTTAACTCTGAGAATGAAGAGGTTTCTCTTGGGCTTTTCCTTTCACTGTCAGGACAGTGAGATAAATTATTTGGAGACTTTGAAGTAGGAGTCGAGTGAGCTTCCTTCTAAAGCTTTAAAATAGATTTCTTTGAAATTTATTCCACGCCTGGCTGAACTGTCCCAAGCATCTCAATATGATGAATTTTGTTTGTTTCATATTTATTTTTGTTTTCCAGAAATTATGTATTAAGCAGTTTAGTTAATATTCATAGTTCTTGCATTTTATCCATCAACACTACAAGCTTCAATGGGAAAAATTAAATTTCTTTGCTTAGAAAACTGCCATCCAAACACTTGCTTACAAGAGCTGATAGCGTTGCTATCTAGAGATACTCAGTTTCCTGCATTTGAATTTGTGAAGTTGCTGCATCCTAAGTAATTATAAGAAAAGTACAAGAGAACACCTCAGCCATCTCTAACATTTACATTCCATGAGCCTCCAAAATAGTTGAAATAAAAGGGAGTTGGAAATAATCAGTTGATTGTCACTAACTGCCTGTGTTTCACAGTAGAGACACTGATTGAAAGCACAGCCCGGAGCTCGAGGCTGAGCTTCCCCAGAAGCTGCCTGTAAAACAGCAAGCAATATATAGGAAACAGCTACTGGTTTATTCAACTGATTGGTATAATCCCTGTCAAGCCATTTCCTCAGTGAAAGGTGATGGGAGTCCAGGCAAAGAAATTGCAAGCAGTCACCTCTGCTATCCCAATTGAATTTGGCTTAATGCAAAACTCTTTCCTCCCTCTCCCATTGTTAATCCCTCCTCCAAAATAATTTAGTTTTTATCTCTCTCTTCATCTATTTTAATAATCCTGAGGGGTATATCTTGCATACCTTCCATATTTTATCGATTGTTTTCCTGTATTGATTCGAAGTTTTTAGTCAGTCTTTACCTTTCCAACAAATACTTAGAAGATGCTAAAATCCCATAAGAGAAAACATCCATGGTTTTAGACATACTCATATACACTCTTACTGAAAACAGTACGCATTTGTGGCATCAGTTTGGCAACACTCAGTGAAAAGTCACGCAGTTTATACCACTCAATTCAATGCTGTTCAGTCTGTGAAAATTTCTTTAAAAATTCCGCTTTGGTAGACTTGATACAGATAAAAACAAGCCCAGACTTGTAAACATGTAGCCTGCAACTCTCACTTTGTACATAGCCTTGTATGAGAATAATGTTGTTGTAAAGGGAAAAGTATTTTAAAAATTTCCTTGAGATATTTTTATCTACAGAAGGGAAAAAAAAAATCCAAATAGCCATTAACATTTTCCTGTGTAGTTCCCGACATAGTAAGGGAGAAATACAATACCTGATCAAGTTATGTTCACAGCAGGCAGCTGATAGACTGGTGATTTAAAACGATTCCAAATCTTTTCAGCACGGGGACTGCTGCTACTGAGCAGTGTTTCTGAAGGCAATCCTGAAATGTGCCCTAGCTGCACGTCCCACAGCTCACCACAGGAAAAGCTTGTTATGCTAGAGCTTCCAAGCAGCTGGATGTTCTTGTCATGGAGTCTCAAGCTGCACTTCCCCCTGCTGTTTGCACAACTCTGACATTCACACAGGGCGTGAGGGTCGGGCTGGGGAATGCCACAGACACAGTTAAAATGCTTTTTGCCTAAACCACCAGTCTCTCAAGGGACAGGAATGATCTCCTTCAAGTCTGAGACACTCCCGTGAAAGGTACTATAAATAAAAGTTCCCAATAAACCTCTCCTCACTTCCACCAAGGAAAAGACAAAATTGCTGTACTTACAGAGCAGCAGTTCTTTGTTGTAGAAACAGAAATTGAGCTAATTTCTTCACTTTATGGCAGCCCTGAGTGCATGCTACAGTGAGGTGGTTGTCTCTGCACACGCTGGGAGAAATAGTTCTAGGGTGGGGAGGAAATGCCGGTAAGAGGCTTGAATTTTCTTTTTCAGAAAATGAGTCATTCAACTTCACTTCTGAGTGCTGCCTGTTTCCTAGCCATCACTCAAAGGGACAAATTAAGGCTACATGCTGGCTAATGCTTACTTTCTTGATTTTTTCTTATGAGAATCCTCTTGTACTGTGTGTTTTGGGACAGCATGAGGCATTTCCCAACATCAATCTTGTTTTACTAACAAAGAGTTTCTTCCATTTTTGTATCTATTGAGAGAAGGGAGATGTTGTGGTGAGTTGGTGGAATCAATTGCAATGCTCAGGTTGGATTGCTAGTGGAGTACTTCTGAGCAAATCACAGCACCCTAGGCGATCCTTTCCCTGTTCCCTCCCACCACAGCATTAGCATGCTGGAATGGTTATAGCCAGCTCGCACAGAAGAAGTGATGTGCCTGGTTTTACTTCTCTCAGTGTCTGCTTCCTGCATCCCTACCTGCACGACAGAATCCCAGTCTGTACCTCTCTAGCTCCCATTCCCTTCATTAATCCTTTAGCACTTCAAGCGTTCATTAAGGTCTACAGGATTTCTTGTTGTCTGATGCCCTCTGCTGCTGCGTATTTTCTAAAAAGAAACACCTTCTGAGCTGCTTTTGGGTTTTTCTGTCCAGGTTGGAATCAATTCCTGCAGGGCCCTGTTGACTGAGAGGGCCTCTTTTGCAGCTGGGGCCGTCTCCACAGCTCTTATATCTTCGTTGTGTTTTTTCCAGGACTTCTTGCAAGTTCAATGGAGTTTGTAACAGAGAACCACAAACTATAGCTGCTATGTTATTTACTAAATTTAGAATACAGCAGAAAATGGAATGCATGTCAGCAGTTACAGAACATGCCTTTGCTGTTTTTTACACATCCCTCTTTAAAAAAAGAGAGAGCCAGACCAATTTGCTGCTCTAAGTAACACTTGTTGAAGTCTGGTTGCTGGGATTTGTCACTGGGAACACTTATGGTGTTAGGAAGTTAAAGAAGGAGGGCTGTTCTTGTGATCTAAAGATTTTCAGTGACAACTTGTGCCCATTTTGGTGTTTGATCTTTGAAGGAGGGAAAGGTGAGAGGGAAGAGGGCATTCCCACTGGTGCTACTTAAGGATGACATTTTTAAAAGGTCTTGGCAAAGCTAATTCTGTTCCCAACCAATGCACTGAATTTGCACTAGCTGGTTTTCTGTGGGGAAATCTTTAAAAAGTGTGTATTTTTTCAGAATGGGGAATGAATGTCAAATTTTTCAGAAGCCTTGCATACTCCTGTCTTTTTCCTTTGTTTTCTTTACTGAATACTGGAGTCAGTAACACTCTATGATGCTAATGAAGTGCTTCAGCATCTAAGAGCTGAAGGCCCAAGGTAGCGGGTTTGATGGAGGATATGATGATTAAGGGGCTCCCTCTAGCGACTTCTATTTGTTTCAGAGTACAGTGGATCCATACTCACCTTTCTAAAATCCATTGCACAATGATGTTGTGATGTTATTTCTTGGAACTCTGATTTACACTAGGTCTTGCTGCCCAGGAGCGATTGCAGAGCCTTACCTGTCGTCCTGGAGCACACAATACAAGTTTACAATTCCGGGAAGAAGCCTGGTTCATGTATTCCAGGACTGCTCTGCAAGGTGAGCCAAACTGCAGGAGGTGTGGGTGAGTGGGAGAGGTGCTTCAAAAGTCCTCTCCTGCTCTGGGGTAAAGCAATAATTCAGATGCTCCAGTTCCTGTCTAAGGCTCGACTTACAGCTGGTAAGGAATGCAATATACTTAAAAGGCTGTAATGCAATTAATTGTCCATATGTTTTCCAGTAGGAGTCAAAATCCAGTGCTCCTGCACCACAGAATGAGTTCATATCACCTGGGTTTCACTACAAAAAATTAACTGTTTACATCTAAGCCTGCCCTCTAGATCTATGATCAATGATGAAAGACACATTGAGGGCAGTCCAGCTGTCCTATAATGCTGTTCTAGGATGAGATGAAATATCCTTTGAAGGTTCCAATCTATCTTTGATGCCTGTATAGAGGAAATTTGTATGGCTCTATATTCAAGCTAGATTGGAATTGCTTAAAGTGATACCAAATCGTACTGTTAAGAGATTCTAGTAAGAGATCAAACCACACAAAACTGTCTGGTGGTGCTGGTCGACAGAACACGAGCCAGCAGTGTGCCCTGGTGGCCAAGAAGGCCAATGGCATCCTGGCCTGTATCAGGAGCAGTGTGGCCAGCAGGAGCAGGGAGGTCATTCTCCCCCTGTACTCAGCACTGGTGAGTGCACCTTGAGTGCTGTGTCCAGTTCTGTCCCCCCAGTTTAGGAAGGATCTTGAGACACTTGAGCGCATCCAGAGGAGGCAACAAGGCTGCAGAGGGGCTTGGAACACAAACCCTGTGAGGAATGGCTGAGGGAGCTGGGGGTGTTCAGCCTGGAGAAAAGGAGACTCAGGGGTGACCTCATCACTCCCTACAACTCCCTGAAAGGTGGCTGTAGTCAGGTGAGGGTTGGTCTCTTTCTCCAGGCAGCAGCTGACAGAATGAGAGGACGCAGTCTTAATCTGTGCTAAGAGAAATAGAGGTTGGGTATTAGGAAAAAGTTTTTTACAGAAAGAGTGATAAAGTACTGGAATGGTCTGCCCATGGAGGTGGTGGAGTCACCATCCCTGGAAGTGTTTAAAAACAGACTGGATGTGGCACTTGGCACCATGGTTTAGCTGAGGTGCTAGGGTGTGGGCTGGACTCAATGATCTTACAGGTCTCTTCCAACCTAGTCATTCTGTGAATTCTGTGATTCTGAGACGTGCCATTTAGCTGCCCTGGGGTACATGTGTTGGCAGAACATTTGACGTGAAGAAGATTTACCCATGGTGATTCAAAAGCCTACAGACTCTTCTACTTTGGGCTGCCTAAATAGCTCTGTGAAGTTAGGATGAATCGTGTACTGGGACTAAAATGACTTGCATTTCATCTGAATCACGCTTTTGTGGCTTTCAGTACTTCAGTAACATGTTCAGTTTCCATAGTGCTTGTGTATCTCTCTACCCAGAAGTTCACTAAAAGTGTCTCTTGGACTAGCGTGGCCAGCTCAGAGAGTGTGCAGATGAAATTCCTAATGGCCTGTGCAGAGGCAGTGAGTCTGCTCCCAGGGCAGCTTTTGCTGCTGGGTGAGTGAGTAGTGGAAGTTAGATTTGTGTCTATGGGTAGAATAAACTCATGAGAGCTCAGCTGAGTTGGATGCAGCTGGTCTCATTTTAGCAGAAAAAAGGATTTTGTAACAGAATTAAAGAGAAGGTTGTGTGTTTCTGTAGAAGATGCAAATAGACACAGAGGCAGAACTTACCACTGCCACTGCTGAGGATACCTCCAAGCTGTACTTGAGACCTGAATGATTCTTGCTAAGTGAAGAAAAGGCCCTATTCACCTGCAAAGTCAAGGTAAAGCAGTATTATAACTATCCGTGCATATCTGACATGACTGAGGTTTCTGATTTTGCCCAGAAGGAGAAAAAAATAAATTAATTAAAGTAAATTAAAAAAAGATGGAAAGAGAAAGAAAAAGAGAGAAACTATTGCATCTGTGAAGTCGGACAATATTTAAAAGTCGTTGAGAGATTCAAATAAATTAATTTTCATATATAAAATATTATACAAATATCTGAGAGTACTTGTACACATTCCCTCTTTACAAAAAATCCTGGGTAATGTCAGCTGGTACATCCTGTCTCTACAAGAGAGGTGCTCTATCCCTCTAACCATCTTGGTGTCCCTCCTCTGGGCTCACTCCAACAGGTCCATGTCCTTCCTGTGCTGGGGACCCCAGAGCTGGATGCAGCACTGCAGGTGGGATCTCACCAGAGCAGAGGGGCAGAACCCCCTTCCTCACCCTTTTGATGCAGGACAGTGTTTGGCTTTCTGGTCTACAAGTGCACATTCATGGGTCAAGTCCAACCTCTCACCCACCAAGTTCTTTTCAGCCAGGCTTCTCTTGATCTGTTAATCCCCTTAAATGTCAAGTTACAAATCATGCCATGAAGACTATCCTCTTTCATTTTTTTTAATGCCATTACCTGCTTATTCTAAATTTGGATAGCTACATTGTGTGAGTTGTTGAGTGTCTTTTAGTGACAGAGAAAAAAAAAAAAGTAATTTCCACTATAATTCACCTCATTCTCCCCATGGTCTACAGTCAAGTACCAGACAGTTACCTCAAAACATGGAGGCCTCCTCATGGCAGATGCTGATGTCTTCAGTAAGTCAGAAGAACCTTGTCCTGAGAGTTTAAAGAAAGTCAGGGTGATCTCCTATATTCATAATCATTAGGGTAAGAAAATTGAGCAATCAGGCACTGTTTAGCCACAACAGTGTGTAATGTTGTCATTCTGCCTGGCTCTTCTGCACAGACAGGAAGTTTGTGCATCCCAGGGGATCAGTTTCACAATTCCTTTGTGAAGAGAACTAATGAATACAAATAAGCAATCACCCTCTCTAAAGAAGCAAATATTTGAGCAGACTAAAACAACATATCAGCTCTAAAGCTGTGAATTAGAGAGTAGGATCAAAGGGATGGGGTTTGCATTATTCCCAGTCTAACAGAAAAGACGTTTTCAGCT